CCAAGAGAGGTAGTCGCCTTTGAACACGTCCGTATCGCACGGGGGCAAATGTATATTGTGTTCCTGGACATCTGTATCTTTTTCGCCCTTAACTAACTTTGCCTGGAAATCTGACATGTTCGACATGCAACGCAAATAAACAGAATAGGAGCTCTTATACCTAGGCTTAACCGTAGAGACTCCTTTAGCGTCTAACGTGTCGGAATGCACTAATTCTTCGTAAGCTGTTTTTACCTTTCTCCATATTGCCTTAAGTTCCTCTTGCTGAAGAGTGAGGCTATATTTTGTATATTCAGTTTGGGCCGTGTCATTATAGTCGGCCTCAAATTCTGCCACAGCATCAGTCAATTTTATGAATTTATCCATTTTTGTTGATCAGAACAAAAAATTTTGCAAACTGACAGGTATTATTTAGTGCAGAGAAACCACTGGAGACCAAGATTCAAGTACGACTTCACTTGAGAAAAATGCTTAGAGACCACCACAATCCCAGATTTTAACACAAGAATTTCTAGTGTACTTTCACACGTATCAAGAAATATTCTTTTATTTGTAATAATATATATATGTATGTATGTTTTAATGGTTATACGTATGTATGTATCCGTAAGTATGTATATATATTTTACTTTTTTCTTATGATTGCAGAATCTAAAAACTCGCCACCCAACTCTCAATTGTAATTGAATTATTTGTCTACTTATTCCGAAGTGACTTCTTATTTGTCCAATATTGTTTGCCGCACGCGAATAGTGATTTTGTGGATGAAAATTTAAAGTGAACTCAATATGTGCCAACCAAATTAATAACAAGTGAGATTAGAATCAAAACTCCGTGATGTGTTAGTGTTGATGTACATACATACATGTGTATATGTACGTAAAGAATTGAAAATGCAACTCGAACTAAATACAATAAACGTGATGAAAGCCAAAAATCGTCGAAATGAATATGTATTTTGCAGATATGGGAAAATAATTTTGAGCCCCGAAACTTAGTGAAAAAAGTGTGTTGCAGTGTTGTTTAAAAGAATAGTTACACAAACAACTTACGTGAAAAGTTTTTACTAAAATCGTTGTCGCGCGCACTGGTGTTACTGTTCGTCTTGCATACCCGTATGTATGTATGTACCTATACTCATTTTCATCAATAATACATAAAATAATGTGCTTGAAACGACAACCACGTACCTTTGTAACTAGTTTTTGAACTTTTGGTGACTTGTGCTGTTTGCTGAAAAGATTTGCGCCTTTATGTGTCGCTGTGTTGGTAGGGTTTCTGGTGAGCTGGTGGTAATTTGAGCGCTTTTGCGTGTTGCCGCACCGTATATATCGGTCCTTTGGCTCCTTATTATTTTGTGTGGAAAGACGTCTGCTCGATGAGTGAATCTAATCTGGGGCGTTTTTGTGATAGCTTCCGTGACCTTTGCTTATATATATAAATGATCTCTGGTTACTTTGAATTTCGGCGTTGATGGACCATGAACGATCGGTGAACCAGTGGGTCGCAACTCCCGCAGTAGCACCAATGTTAATTGAAAAAAAGAAAATGAAATGAAACACAACCAAGTGTATTAGTAGATAATAGCTATGATTTCAATTGGGTTTATTATCGAATAACTCAGTGGGTGTACAATATGATTACCTTTGAATATGTATCGCTGGGTGATGGCTGAAGTCGTCCGGTCTCCTTGATAGCTCGAATGAAGTGAAAAAGTCCCGCTTTGACAAAGTTAAGTTTACCCGCCGGCAGCCAACTGCTCGGAGGGGAAACTTAACGAAATTATATTACAACGGGAAATAATACATGTATTGCTAACGGCGTAGCAATAAAGGTAGGCCGTATATATGCCTGAGTATGTTTGTGTGCTCGGCTCAAGTCAATGCTCTTTTACATTAGGGTGGTTCAACCTTTAAATCATTTGGTTTTGCATGAAGGCCTAAACACACGGAAACGTGAGCACTAGTGAAATTTAAGAATGGTTTTTCTTTTAGGCGCATCAATATTACATAGTTACATCCCGAGCTAATAAAAGGAAGGTAAAAAGAAAATAATTAAACCAAGAAAAAAATAAAGCAAGTCCCTAAAAATTAAATTAAGTAAAATAAATATATTTTTCCTTATAAATCAATAAAATACAAAAATTATAAGACAGTGAAATTAGCAAAAGAAAAACAAATTAATAAAATAAAGTTTTAAAAATTAAATTAAACAAAAAAAGCTTTTTTAAACATTAAAAATTGAAAATTAGAAGAATAGAGAAAATAGCTAAAGAAGAAGAAAAGTAAGTCCCTAGAAATTAAATGAAATAAAAGAAATATATTTTTCCTTTAGAAGCAATAAATCTAAAAATTAAAAGAAAAAATTTAAAAAAGAAAAAATTTAATTCAAAAAGTCCGCTGCACGAGGTTCGAACTCGGATCTTTCGTTGGCAAGCCTGAGCTTTGCTCACTCGGCCATTGCGACTGTTGGAGCGATACGAGCTAAATGATATACATACAAGTGCTTTTCACCACGAGTGAGTTTACTAAAACTCTGTGTCGATTTCGTTTGCTGCAAGAAATTATCTAAGTTAAGAAAATATAAATTTACCTCCGAGCTACTTAACTATCTATTTATATATGTAACTCTGGATGTTCTGCAATTGGGTCTTATTATAGATGGTAGCTTGATTTCTGTGGAAATGTCATAATTCCAGCAAAAGTCAAATAGCAAACATGGCGATCAAAATCATTGAGTGAAACTACCTTATTTTTTGTACCATGGTGTGTACTTGATAAATTAAGCAGTTTTATAATATGTAAATCTTTTATTATTTATCAGGAACTGGGATTCTAGAAGATAAGTCAAAAGCCCTTTTCTTGATTAATTCATGTCTGAAAATGCTATTGCCAAGCGTTTACAATTGAAATTGCATGTGAAAAATATAAAATTTGTATATTAAAAAAAATTTTTCTATTATTAAACACTGCATGTGCCTGCGAAACATGGAATTATAGCCGACATCTCTACCCACTCGGCTAGGGCAGTCAAAAGGTTTTTTGCTGTTAAGGCAGTGTCACACGATTGGTACATTTGTACAGATTTGTAAAGTTTTTTATTGGGCTATTGGTACAAAATAAAAAAACAGGCAGGCAGTGTCACACGATTGGTACATTTGTACAGATTTTTAAAGTTTTATGTTGGGCTATTGGTACGAAATAAAAAGACTGGCACGTAAATTTTTTTTTAGTCAATCGACCTTCTATCTATTGAAAATTTAGAAAAAATTGTTTTTCGTGATTGGGATAAATAAAAATATTTGTGCATTCACTCGATTGGGATACAATTTGCACCATTTTCGGGCAAATGCGAAATCACGTGACACTGCCTTTAAATTAATATTTTTCATATATGACAATGAAATCAAATAACCTCATAGCCCTGTAAAATTAGAACAAGTAGGTACGAAGAAAACATTTTAAATAAATAAATATTTGATATGTATTATATTCAAATGCCGAAGTGGTAGTTCTCTACAACATTTGTACGAACAAGTTTTTTGTACGACGCTAGATCACGACCGGGAACGTGCTAAACATAGCGATTTAAGGGAAGCGGCGTAAAATTCATTTCCACATCACGTCAACCGGTACAGTACGATTGCCAAAATTATATAGGACGCATTACAAAGATTAAGGTCTTAAAATTATCACATAGACTCCCCCCATTGAACAGTGTAGTCTTTTGAAAAATGCAACATGACGTCTCTAATATGGCGTCTAAACTAACCGTAAGTAAGATTTTGCTTTACAACTTTAGTTCTACCCGAGAACCCAACACTAACACCCCTATTCTGCAACACTTTCGTATTCGGAGTTTGCTACGAATCGTAGAAATGGTATGCTGCAATCCGAATCGTATTTTCGAATTTCGTAACAATAAAATGCCTAAAAACAAGCGAGTAAGAAATTGACAGCTATTCTGCGTCGGAAGCGAGATGAAAATTAAGCAAAAAGTAAGACATCACCCCTGAAAAGTAGAGAGCCGTGAGCGCACCACAGCCTACCGTGAAGTACTGGCGACACCCGCTCGCCCTCCGTTAGCAGGGCGACGTCCATCAGCGCCAGCAGAGCGCCACTTTCCGCCGTCAGCAGAGCGAAGTTACCAGAGCGCTACTCTCCGGCGTCAACAGAACGCTACTCATCGCCATCGGCAGAGCGACGTCAACCGCGTCTATAAGAGCGCCACTCATCGGCGCGACCCGAGCGCTACTCTCCGACGTTAGCCGAACGCTACTCACCGACGCTAGGGCGTTTTTCAATCAAATTCTGAAGTAGGGCGTTCTTGAGAAGTTTTCTGAGATGGGGCGTTTTTGAACTGGCTGCCGAGATAGGTTGATCTTCCACTCAACCATCGAAATAGAATAGCCGATTTTGTCGAATTCGCCAAGAATAAAGTAACGGTACTGTTGTTTTCTCTACATTGCGATAATTATGTAATATTTTGTCATTCAGGTGTTGTGAATAATGCTGAATAGACGCAAAAAATTACTTTTGGGTTTCCTGGCCCTCTATGAAGATAGAAAACAACAAGAGGAAGAAAGTGATAATTTATTTTTTGTTGGACCATTTCGAAAAAAATTTTAAGTATTTTAATATGAGTTAATATTCATGAATAACACAGATGAGAATACTTATATCCAACGTATTAAATATTGTTTTTACTTTTTTAATTTCTATTATAATAATTCGCTCAAGACAAAATACAAATCTTCCCAACAATAGCAAAATGATGAATGGTCAATGCAGAGAAATCACGTGCACATTGTTTTGTACTGAAAATTCTGAGTAAACTACGAACTGTTAATTTGGGCCTAATTGTACCTATTTGCCAAAAAAATTTAACATAAATGTAGATAAATATACCAAAAAAGTAAATATGCATATTTATGTGTATACGCTTTTGATAGTGGGTGGTTAACCTCTCCCTTCGGTACTGTATATACTTTTGGACTCTTATCAAACACTCTTTGCTATTAAAAAGATCCTTAAATGGAATGCTAGCTTGCAAGTCAGCGATAATGTAATTTGAGGACCGTTTTTATCTATTTAAGTATAAGGTGCAATCCCGTATTCCTCGGACTCGGACTAGTAAAACTGTCAAAAAATAAAAATTCGCTCACAGCGAGAGAGTAACATTGAAAAGTACGGGATCGCTTTCTAGTAAAAAATGGTAACTTCTGTCAACTTCAACATAACCTCCAAATTTTGGTTGTAAATTGTTGCTTATTTTGTATGTAAACACACTCAGCTCACACATGTAAATAACCAAAAATACTTTCAAATTCATTAGAATCCACTTAAACAAGTAATTAAATACTTTTCAACATGAATTAGCATAGTGCACTTTTCTTTTGTTTACAATTTTAACAAAAGTTTTTTGTTTATAACTTTTAAATGGTTAATAATATTAGCCCTCCCCCTCCAGATTGTTAATAGGGGGGCCGAAACGCGTCGTTTGGTACCCCTCCCGACTTTTCCGGACCTTTTTTAGGGGTTGTTACCATACACTAGAGAATTACCTTCTTGTGGGCTACATTTCCTATTTCCGAGCATGAACCAACGACTACAGATCACGCAATCCGCCATCGTTGTATTTGTAATCGAATTTTATAAAAAAGTTTTCGTAGCGTTTTTGACGTTTTTCCCTTTTGTTTACATCGTCTTCTATCGTTTCCGGATGTCTTTTTTAGCAATTTGATGTGTTTTATCAGCGATTTTCATTTTAATTTTGATTTATTATAAATTTATGATATAAAATGAAGTGCTTTGTGATTGGAACAAGTTTGTTCATTTGTCTCTATCATCGTCATCATCGTCTTCTATCGTTTCCGGATGCCTTTTTTAGCAATTTGATGTGTTGTATCAGCGATTTTCATTTTAATTTTGATTTATGATATAAAATTAAGTGCTTTGTGATGGGAACAAGTTTGTGCATTTGTTTGGGCCTAAATTTTCGTGAAAAGTGGGTGCACGTTTGTGGCCAGAATGTTGGCATTGAAAAATCGACACGTGGTAATGATATGCGATTGTAAAAGACTTTCTGTCATGAAAACCATATTTTATGAACTTTTTTTTGCTAATTGTCATCAAGTTTCACTTCGTATATTTTATAATAAATACCAATTTAATCGCACTCCAATCACCCCGTCTTTTTCGTTTGTTTTGTTTCATTCTTAGACACACGTCAAAAACGCTCAGAAATTTACTTTTTTCATTTTGTTGCGTGATCTTGCTAGTTGGTTCTTGTTTCCGAGAATGGCCTCTGCCTAGTGATGGCACGATTAATTGAATAACCGATTATAATCGGTTATTTTCATTCGGTTAACGATTTAATTGTATCGAAATTTTTCTTTCTATTAATCGAGCGATTAACCGATTAATTTTCAAAATAATCGAAAAGAAACCATCGAAAACTGACTACATCATGTATGAGTAAAAATTACGTGACAAAATTGGAACTCGTATCACTCAATACTAACAACAACAAAAAGTTTCACTCCACTCAGTACATACATATGTTACTTGTTGGGAGGTCTTTTACATTCTCGTATTCTGCAAATTTTTTAAATGATATTTTTGCAAAAAACCGCAACACAAGTTTAACCTAAGTAGCTACTAAAAAATCATACCGCAGGTATGCACATATTTTCATTAATTTTCTGAATTCGTTGTTGCGCATTTTCTTCTTTTTTATATGGAAGAAAATAAGCAACACCATTACCAAACAGAAAAATACCAAAAATCAGTGGTAAGTGCCAGATACTTCAGTATTGCAATTTTTTATACAAAAATTTAATGGGCAACAAAACTGCATACTAAAAATCTTTCTAATAAATCTAATTAAAAAGTTCGAACTTTTTGTTGAGTTTTTTTTTAATATTGCACAAAGGTTGATATATTTATACGTTTTTTGCTGAAGAATAAGTTATATTTAAAAAATAACTAAAATTAAATAACAAAAAAATTCTCGAGGTGCGCTATAATTTTGGCACAGGGTGGTTTTTATTAATTTTCGATTTTAATCGAAACGACCGATTAATCGGTTAATTTCTTGCGATTAATTGCAATTATTTTCGAATGGTTTCGATTAATCAATTAACCGATTAATCGATTATTAAATTTTTTTGCCATCACTACCTCTGCCATTCAATAGTGATAGAACTTTTTAGAAAAGTATCGATACTAGTACTCATATAGAATACTCTAAAGAAGAATCGATGCCAGTACTCATATTTGCAAAAAAGTATCGATACTCGAACTTTCAAGTATTTTTAAAACAAACGCGAAAAGTTGACAGAAATCAGATTGCTTTGCTTTTGTGAACTCTTCCTATTTGTAAATTAAATATACACTGCTTTAAATAGTTGAAATGTGATCACTTCAAAAGGAGTTTAGAAATAAACTTACAGTTAGTTTACTTGTACAAGTGTAAAGTAATCGTTTATAGCACATATTCTATAATATTTAACGCGTATATTTATAAACCCATTTACTTTTAAAATGAAATGGAAATGCAGAAAATGAGAAACAAATGTGATGAACTCCATTCTCTAAAGGAAATAGAAGCTCTCTTTCATAAAAATTTTCTTCGAGAATGGGCTGCATTCCGCATTCACAACGAGGGTAGAATACAATGGTTAACGGATGCTATGATAAGCTGGAGGATAGCCAAGTTATCGTGTCGAAGACCATTCTCTAGAGCTGGAAAACTATCGATAGTATCGATGGTATTTGACTATCGAAAACATCGATGGTCAAACATTATAAAAATTTCGCAAATTAATGGTGTTTAAAAATTCAGATTTAAACTTTATACAAAAATTGTAGAAGTTTCGCAAATTTTCAATCAAATTTCAAACTTTTTAATGGTTTTGTAGCCCATTTAATTCTATTATAATAAAGTGCAAGTATCAAGGTGCTAAAAAATCTCGTTCATTTTTGAGAATTTTTTTGGTTGAAGGTGTTTCACGTTCTTTCTATACAAATTATGTTCGACAACTTTCTTTTATATGAAGGTCACTGCCAGCAAAAAAAAATCCAAAAACCAACGGAATTTTTCAGCAGCTTGAAGCTTGCACTTTATTAAACTAGAATTAAATGGGCTACAAAACTGCATACCAACATTTTTTCTAAAAATTCTGATTAAAAAGTTTAATATTTGGTTGAAAATTGGGAAACTTTTATAATTTTTATATACTTTTATAAAAAAATAATAAACATTGAATAAACAAAACACAAAGAGACAAAACTGGTCAAAATATCGCTCTCCTATTAATTTGTGGACAACTGTACATTATTCAGTAACATACATTTTCAATAAAAGTTGTTATGTTTAATTTTTAGACTTTTTAATCAAGACATTTTCGATAGTATCGATACTACCGATGGTTGTGACCTATCGAAACTATCGATGGCCACGAACATCCAGCTTTTTACCCTCCTCCAGCTTTACCATCCTCTTACTTACTACGTTTATGCGTAATTGACGAATTCATTTCATGAATTTGGGTTAGCATTGGCTGCATAAACACCAATTTATGAATTCAGTTATATTCGAAAGTTGACCATCATTTCATGAAACCATGAAGTGCAGGTCCGGCAACGCCACGTTTCAAAAACAGCTGTTTACTAGGGTTATGATGTTTTTAGAATAATAACCATGACTGACATAACCAGAATTTTAAACACTGGAAAAGTTATGTGGAATTGTTCAAATATAAAATAAATTCAAATAGAATAAACTGAAAATATATTAAAACTAATTTAAATTAAATAAGGTTCATTGCCTGGTACCAACGGCTTTTACAAATTCAAAAGGAGGCACAAAAATCACAACCCTACTGTTTAGTTTCTCGCCAGTGCGTTGCCTTGCAACATTATTGATATGGCAACTCCCGACAAGTGGTCATTCGCAATAATGATACTGATATTTTTTACATCGTGAGCTGTCACTTTTTGGACTCGAACTTTCGCTGGTGAATCTTTTTTTCTCTATAGCGGACCGCATTTTGTATTGTATTTAAAATCAAAGTTCATCCATTAAATTAGTTTTATACATTGCATAAGACACTGTGTTATCATTTACGCACCAAAAGTGGTGACCCCGCATTAGAGCATTTTTCTAAAAAAATTAAGTTAGGCGTGATGATCATAAAATGCCTGATAACGAAGAGCTCTCAAAAGAGATTGAGTCGCTTAAAATTCAATTAAACGAGGCATTGGCGTTTGGCACACAACAATCGGCAGAACAGAGCAATGCATCGGCAGCAAGCCAAATCACATCGATATCGGAAGTAAAATTCACGCAGTTTTACGAAAACGACCCGGAACTTTGGTTTGTCATCGTAGAATCACATTTTGAGGCACGGAAAATAACCTCAAACAAATCGCAGTATTTGCACACAGTTGCCAACTTATCAAGCAAGGCCGCATTGCAAGTGAGGGAATTACTTCTACAACCGTTTAGCGATGAAAAGTATGACAAATTGAAACAACAACTCATATCAATTTACTCCGAGTCAGCGACGATTAAATTTGAGAAGTTGATCTCAAATGAACCCCTAGGTGATATGAAGCCATCTCAAGCACTACACAATATAAAGTCACTTGCTTCGAAAGACGTCGGAGACGATTTCATTAAAAACTTATGGATGAAAAAATTGCCGCAAACAACGAGAACAGTCCTGGTCGCATCAAAAGACAGACCAAATGATTTAGCCCAAATCGCCGACCGAATGTGGGAAGTTTCTGATAAAGTGTGTATCTCCAGTGTGGAACAAACTCCTCCGCTGGAAAAGACACTGGAAGTAATACAGCAAAAGTTAGACAAATTATCCGTACGACTGAATGCGATCGAAACGCAGACCAGGCCGACACGACGAGAAACAACACCGCATCGACAGCGTGGCCGCTCATCCAGTGCCAAGCGATACGAAAAAGAAAGGAACGCTGATAATGACTTATGTTGGTATCACCAGAAATTGGGAGAGCGTGCAAAAAAATGTCGTTCACCGTGTTCATTGAACTTAAAGCAAAAAAACTAATGTGTGCGGTGTCAACTCAGGCGCCGACACTATGTACAGCTTCAAAGCGCCTGTTCATACACGACAGACTAACTGAGCACGATTTTTTAATCGACTCAGGGGCTGATCACTCAATACTAAAACCAACTCACCGTATGAAGGAACTAATACGCAGCAACTACAATAATAGCCAGACAGAAGAGTATGCAAAATACTACGCCGCAAATGGATCGCCAATACAAACATATGGTAAACGTTTATTGTGCGTATGCCTAGGGTTGAGACGCGAATTCCCATGGAATTTCACCATAGCAGATTGCTCAACATCAATAGTAGGTGCCGACTTTTTAAACGAATATGGTTTGCTGACATCAAACGGAGACGGGTAATCGATCCAATGAATGGGGCGTCATCTAAAGGTGAAGTAGTTACATCGATTTCACCTCAGGTAACTACAATCGATGCGACTAACAAATTTTCGTTTCTTTTATCTGAGTTCAAGGAATTACTTGACGATAAACCATCATTTCTGGTTAAAGAACGTGCTAATGTAACACACTTCATCGAAACTACGGGGCCACCGGTCACAGCAAAAGCAAGACGGTTATCACTAGAAAAAGAAATCAACGAACTACTCCGACTTGGCTTCTGCAGACCGTCGAAGTCCAACTACGCCTCGCCGCTACACATGGCACCGAAAACCAATGGAGACTGGCGCCCATGTGGGGACTATCGGCAGTTGAATTTCCGCACAAAACCCGATAAATATCCGATTCCTCACCTGCAAGATTTTGCAAATATCTTGCATGGAAAGCGCATTTTCACCCGCATCGACTTACGCAAAGCGTATCATCAAGTCCCCATCGAAGAGTCACATATTCCTAAAACAGCCATCATCACCCCATTCGGCTTGTTTGAGTATGTTTTTATGTCATTCGGACTGAGAAACGCGTCACAAACATTTCAACGATTAATTGATGAAGTGCTCCGTGGACTCGACTATGTTTTTGCTTACATAGACGACATATTTATCGCATCCGAATCATACGAACAGCACGTCGAACACATTCGGAACGTATTCAAGCGCCTTAGTGAATATGACCTACGGATCAACGCTGAAAAGTGCATATTTGCTGCTAGCAAAATAACGTTTTTGGGTCATGAAGTCACCGCTGAAGGTGTTAAACCGCTACCTGCAAAGGTAGAAAAAATATTGTCCTTCCAAGAACCAACCACCGCGAAACATTTAAAACGATTCATGTTAATGATTAATTTCTACCGGCGCTTTATC